GGTTCTTTTTAATATAAGATTTTTGAGGATAGGTGTGATAGTGACTATAGATAGATTGTGACTATATAGGATAAATTTTAATAATAAAGTGTTTTGAACATTCAACTGGTGTGACTATATAGTAGAATGTGACTATAACGGGAGTGACTATAGAGGGAGTTGACTGTAGTACCTTTTCAATCACCTGTAAAATCAGTTAAACTGAAAGCCTTACCAATAACTTTATCCAAGTCAGCCCATGTTTCATAGTAAATTATCAATTTGCGGGTACCTCTATCTTGAATTAATTTAAATGCTTTACACCCAGTAGGTGTAAAGATTAAGTGAGCAGGGTTATCTGGGTAAAAAATTGCAATAGTGGTAAAAGCAAAAACTCCTATTAACACTGCCTGAAATCATTTCCATTCTTTCCTTTGTTTGAGATCCCAGTCGGCCAGAAACTATCTTACAGGTAAACCTTTAAGTGAAGCAGTCTAAACTTCACCATTCCATAAATCTAAAGCCATCTTGTTGTAGTCCACTAACGTGCCCAGTAAATAGTTTTTGTATAAATTTATACCAAACGGGCTCATTGGCTCGAAATTAGCTCAAATTTATGCAATAAATAATCCAAATTTAAGCCAATCTAGAGCCAATTATATATGGATGAGCCCATTTGGTACAAATTTATACAAAAACTATTTACTGGGGTGGTAATAGTAGTGTATTTCTGTTGTGATTTAAATTTAATCATAATAACATAAACCCAATCCTTTAAGTGATTAAGGACATCAAGTTGGATCCATCTGGAGGGGATATTATATACTGTAAATTCATGAACATTCTTCTTAAGTTCAGGATTATATCCAGTCATCACAGTACTAATTGTTTTGGATGCTAGTATAACTGGTTGTTTCTTGGGAGCCTTACGGCTAATACTAGATGAGCTAGTTTTTGAAATGGATACAGTTCTTTTCTTCTTTTTGTTCATATTAAGAAAAGGCGAGCTCAGTCTGTTGAAGTCACTATTTGAGTCCTATTTAACTACTTCCACATAGGAAACTCGCTTTGTTTCTTTTCCTTTAGAAGTAAAAGGTGTGGCATCTACTTTAAGAGTAATTAGCACAGTGATGGGTAACGCATCAATCTGGGCTAATTTTGACTCAATTTGTGCTACCTTCATCTGTAATTGTGATTGAAGTTCAGGGTATGCATAAATTTCCATATTCATCAAGTCATTTTTTGTGAAACTGGATGCATAATTGGATTGTTGTGATGATGTCATCAAACTTTTGTCTCAAAATTTGTTAACCTCCTGACCAAGTAAGAGTTGAAAATGTTGAGAGTACGTAAGTATAATAAAGAAAAAGTGGTAAAGTTTGTTGAGATTTCTCATTTCAAAGGTATTAAAAATGTCTTGAAATTCAAATAATAAAGTTTTATAAGAGCTAAGTCTTTATCAGCAGTATATTAACTACAGTATCTACTATCTACTATGTGTCTTTCACTTATATTATTTGCGGTATATTCTCTTAGGCCAGCCTTTAAAAAGTCAAGAAAAGAACTATCTCTGAGGTTGTTAATAAGTTATTTGACCTTTAAATAGTCAACTTAAGGTCAGGTATTAGTGCTAGAAGCCATTTTTAATGAAAAGGTTGCTAAAATTTTCTTGTGAAAAAATGGTCCATATGATCGCCAGAAAGAATTTTCCTTTTATACTTATAACTAATAAAATGATCATAGAAGAGTATTTTATATATAAAAAAATTGAAATCAAAAAATATGTGCCTTAAGAAAGGGAGTTCTTATATAGAAGATACCTATAAAAAGATTAACTGTAATTTTAAATTGCAATAGTTCACTTTAATTTTATTACTTTTTAATTTTACATTTAAATTTGAATAATTTCTCTTAAACATATTTTATTTCTCAAATAATAGTATATTCTGATAAGTTTAATAGAATTTCTATATAATGCTAAGAAATTTCAAATAAAAATATAATTATATTGTATTAATAGAATAAAATTAAAGTAGATAATAATGCAAATAAGATAGATATATTCTAGTATAAATTAAAGTAAAAATTTAATAATGAATTATTATTTAAAGATAAAAAAAATGTAATAATTTTATTAAATTCTGTAAAAATTATCTTAAAAACAAATAAAAAAAGGAAACAGATACTAATATTATAATCGCATTTAATTAATATATGGTCTGAATAAAATTATTTAATATTTTTTATAAACCTGTTTAGCAATATATGCAATAATATAGTAGTATAATTGAAATAGTAATTAGATATTCTAATTGAATTAATATTATTTAAAGTAGTAACAGAATTCTGCTTATTTATAAAATAGATTACTGGAAATCTAAGATAGTGATTTAATTCTATTTTAAAACAATTTAGATAGCAATCTAGATCTGAAAATTTATAGATTGATTTTTAATTTAAGATTAATTCAAATATATTCTAATTTGCCATTAGTTAAATTAAGATCTATTAGAATAAATTTTAATAAAGTTTTTTTTTATAATTTTATTTATAAAGATTTATAAATTAATAAAATTATTAAAATTATTAATAATTATAAATAGAGTGAATTTATTTACCGCATCCTGCGTTATAACGCATTTTTCCTTTTTTGTAAATTGTTTATGTCAATCTTTAGTTTATACACCGCACCTCCCCTTAAAATGGCAAATGATAAACATAAAAATATATATAAATTTGTAACGCAGGGTGCGGTAAATACATTATTTCTTATAAATAACTTAGTTTACTTTTACTTCTAAAACTTAAGGAATTTATTTCTATTTCTTAATTTTTAATTTGGTTATTTTCTTTTTTCTAAACACTAGTCAAAAAAGAAATATTCAGTTTTAATACAATTTGACCTATATTCGACTAGAATTAATAAAATTCGACTTCAATTAGTAAAGATCTATGATTAGACATATATTCAACCTACTAGTTGAATTATGTTAATCAAATGTTATGCGTTATGCGATACGTGTATTAAAATAAAAGTTCAAAAAAGGATGATCCTTTTTTAAATTTTTTTAATTTTCTTCCTTTCCCTTTTCCTTCATCCTAGTTTCTTTTCTTCCCCTTTCCCTCCCTTTGTTTTCCTTTTCCTTCCTTTGCTTTTCCCTTTCTTACCCTTTCCCTTTCCTTTCGTCACTTAACTTTTTTGAAAGTATACATATCATACAGGACCTCGCTTACTTATAAGATAGGTCACCCCCAAGCCTAAGGTAAAAATTATATATAAAATTCTTTGCAGATCCTACTATAAAAGGAAATTTTATGTTACATTTTTATGATTTTTTTTCTTTTTATCTAATTAACCAATAGAATTTAAGAAAAAAGTAAGGTAAAAACTATTAGTAAAGGGCTAATTTTCTATGATGACCTTTATTATAAGTAAGCGGGATCCTACATATACCTTCAAATTTTTACTTTTTTAACAAAACGTTCCACTAACATTTTCGTTTTTTTTTTTAAATTCAAGACGCCCATTTAAAAAGTTCGGGTAGGCTTTTGAAGTACAGAAACTTCAAAGATTCATAAATATGAATTCTTTGGAGTTTTTTTTATTTTTTTTTAATATGAACAGTTACTAACCGTTCTTTTTTTACTTTTTTTTAGATTCAGCCGTTTGGGTGGGCTTTCGAAGTATGAAAAAACTAAGTTTACAAAACTTGGATTATTATTTTTTATTTTTTAATTAATATGAACAGTTAGGAAGCTTACAGATATTACGTAATTATCAAAGGGGGGAGAGGGTAACCAAAATCTTATGTTATACTTAATAAAATATATAATTATAATTTGATTGGTTATTAAATCTGACAAGGGAAGGAGTAAGTTTATATTAAACTGAATATTACGTAATATATGTAACTCCTCTTACTAACTGTTCTTTTTTACTTTTATTTTAAGTTCGGCCATTTGGGTGAGCATCTGAAGTATAGAAACTCCAAATATTCATAAGTACGAATTCTTTGGAGTTTTTTTTTATATTTTTAATATGAACGGTTAATACTAACCGTTTTTTTTATTTTTTTTTAAGTTCGACCATTCAGGTGAGCTTCTGAAGTATAAAAACCCTAAAGATTTGTAGGTACGAATTCTTTGAAGTTTTTTTTTATATTTTTAATATGAATGGTTAATACTAGCTGTTCTTTTTATTTTTTTTAGATTTGGCTCTTAGATGACTACCGAAGAATGAAAAAACCAAGTTTTGTAAGTTTAAAACTTGGTTATTTTTTTTTGTTTATTTTTAATATTATGAACAGTTAGGGAGCTTACAGATATTACATAATTATTAAAGGGGGGAGGGGGATAACCAAAATCTTACGTTACACTTAATAAAATATATAATTTATAAATATTATAATTTGATTGGTTATTAAATCTGACAAGGGGGGAGGAGAGTAAGTTTATATTAAACTGAATATTATGTAATATATATAACTTCCCTTATTAATAACTGTTCTTTTTCTTNGGAGGAGAGTAAGTTTATATTAAACTGAATATTATGTAATATATATAACTTCCCTTATTAATAACTGTTCTTTTTCTTTTTTTAGGATCAGATATTCTGAAGAACGGGAAAATTCCAAGATTCGTAAGAATCTTGGATTTTTTTTTATTTTTTTTAAAAAAAATATTACGAACGGTTACTAATAACCGTTCTTTTATTTTTTATAGGTTTGGGTGGACTTCTGTATTTTGAAAAATGGGAAAATTCCAAAGATTCGTAAGAATCTTGGATTTTTTTTTATTTTTTTAAAAAAATATTACGAATGGTTACTAATAACCATTTTTTTCTATTTTTTAGAATCTGATAGGTTTTCGAAGAAAGAAAAACTAAGAAACCAAGATCTGTAAGTAAATACGATTGTATGAATCTTGGTTTAATTTTTTTTGTTTTTTTTTAATATATGAACAGTTCTAACTGTTCTTTTCTTTTTTTTTAAGATCTGGCGGGCTTCTGAAAAATGGAAAACCAAGAAATTAAGATTCGTAAGTAAGTACGAATTTTGGTTCTTTTTTTTGTTTTTTTTTTAATATATGAACGGTTTACTAATAACTGTTCTTTTCTTTTTTTTAGGATCAGATGGGTTTCTGAAGAACGAAAACTTAAAGATTCGTAAATACGAATCTTTAATTTTATTTATTTATTATTATTACGAATGGTTTATTAACCATTCTTTCTTTTTTTTATAGTTCAAGTAAGCTTCCAAAAAATGAAAACCCAAAGATTTGTAAGTACGAATCTTTATATATTTTTTTTTTATTTTTTTTTTATTATTTTGGAACAGTTTACTAACTGTTCCTTTCTTTTTTTATAGGTTCAGGTGGACTTCTGTGTGGAAAAATCAAGATTCATAAATAAGTACGAATCTTGGTTTAATTTTTTTAATTTTTTTTTTTAATATTAATGAACAGTTACTAATAACCGTTCTTTCTTTTTTTTAAGTTTTGTGGGCTTCCGACCTTTGAGAAAAAAGGAACTAAGATTTGTAAGTATGAATCTTAGTTTATTTTTTTTATATTTTTTTTAACAGTTACTAATAACTGTTCTTTACTTTTTTTTAGGTTCAGGTGGGCTTCTGTATGGAAAAACCAAGATTCGTAAGTAAGTACAAATCTTGGTTTAATTTTTTAATTTTTTTTTTAATATTAATGAACAGTTACTAATAACCGTTCTTTCTTTTTTTGTTAGGCTTTGGGTGGGCTTCTGACCTTTGGGAAAAGAGGAACCAAGATTCATAAGTACATACGAATTTTGGTTTATTTTATTATTATTTTATTATTATGAACGGTTACTAACTGTTCTTTTCTTTTCTTTTTTATAGGTTTGGTGTCTTGGGTGGGCTTTTAAAGAACAAAAAAAACAAAGATTTGTAAGTAGAATCTTAATTTTTTCTGCTTTTTTTTAATATTATGGAATGATTACTAACCGTTTTTTTCTTTTTTTATAGTTTCAGTAGATTTTCAAAAGATCAAGACTCGTAAGTATATACGAATACATGAATCATGTGATTGTGAAATTGTAGATTAGCAATAATTATTTGTAATTTAGATAGATTCTAATAATAATAATATAATTAAGTATTTAATAAGTACTTTAATAAATTTGATATACAGTCAAACCTTGATATAGCGAACTCTTGATATAGTGAATTTTTCAGACAACTATAATAAATTTCCCCTTGCTATAATGAATTAACCAATCAAATCTCTTAAAATCTTCACTATAGCCCTATAGCGAAGTTGAGGTCTGGAACCTAGGGTTCGTTATAACAAGAGTTGACTGTATAATAAAATTAAAATAAATTCAGAAATAAATAGGTGGTTATTAGACTATAATTCGATTTAAGTTTTAATGTCAAATATTGGTCAATTTAAGGTCTAATTTTAGCCAAATATTCTTTCTGAATTTGAGACGATTAGCACTCTAAATGCACCCAAAAATTTAACCTTAATTTGACACAAGTTAGATCATTATTCGTAGGGTTGTGAGAGTTACGTTACATAGATTACAATACATGTAACTTACGCTGTAAGTTACATCGACCCCTTGTAACTTACATCTTATATAATATTATAAAATCGATTCCTATTAGTACAAAATTAGCATATCATGTAATCAAAATTTCCTAAATAAAATTCATAAAACAAAACACTTTATCTACTTTATTTATTTTTTCAAGAAATTAATTACATTTACAATATTATATTTAAAAAATTAATCTTGAAATTCATTTAATTCTTCATCTAATAATCCTTCCAAATCTGAATAGGATTGAAAATCTAAATCAGAAAAATCAGATTCAACATCAATTTCTTATTCATTATTACTTTTGGCAGCTTTTCTTATAGCTTTCTTTTGCAATACTTTCTCAACTCAGCCCTCTATAGTAAGTGGCTTTTCTAATGAATGTAATATTTGCAGATTTCAAAACATATAAACAATTTTTTCTACCCGCTTTTCATGCAATTTATTTCGTAACTTTGAATGAATAAATCCAAATGTAGACCAATTTCTCTCACTGGCTGCTGAAGTTGCGAGTATGGAAAGTATCTGAATGGCTATATCACTAAAAATTGGATATCTTCCTTTCATTAAATTCCATCAGTTAACGGGTTTTTGAATTACATCTCCCTACAAATGGCTATGCGCAAAACTTCCTGTTTTTCTAACATATTTGGCAAGTTTTGTTAAAACTATATTTTTATATTCTTCCCCTACTAAACTTAAAGTTTCCTTTTCAATAATAGGATCAAATATGCGTGTATTAAGGCAACTATCACAATATTATAGATCTAATTTATAAGCAACAATGACAACTGGATTCAACTGGATTGTATAAGAAGTTTTACCACCGATTTGTGCCAAATTTTTCAACTTCTTCACGAATATTTTCAGGTAAATCAGTATTGTTTCGCATATATGCTTTAAGTTGCTGATATTCAAAATATGCAGTAGAAAGAAATGTTTTATCTCCTTCTAATTTTTTAATAAAAATAGCAAAATTTTCTAAAAAATTTTGAATTTTCCCAAGATCATTCCAAAAAGTATCACTAGAAATAAGTGACTTCATTCTATCATCAAGATTAAGATGATCCTCAGCAATAGTAGATCGAATAGCTGATTTTGTAAAGAATAACTGGTTAATATAAGAATATGAAGATCCCATCATGTATCGCAAAGTAAAATCAATGCGATTTCTAAGGATGGCCCCGAAATTGATTTGGCAAAAATCCGAAATCCGAAATTTCGAATCCGAAATCTGAAATTTTTCCGAAATTAATTCATAATTTTGGCCGAATTCATAATTCCAGCCGAAAATCGTAATTCCGGTCAAAACGGATATGTCGATCATTTCTATATTTGGCAATAGCCATTACACAAAAATCGATTTTGGAATCTTGTGTAACATCGATTTCAATTTTAGGAAATTCTATAATTCCTGCCAGAATTAAGTGCATAATTCTGGCCAAATTTACATATTTAATTTCAGCATTTCGGCTGGAATTTCGGATTTCAGAATTTTGGATTTGGCTGGAATTACAGCTACGATTTCAGAATTTTGGCAAATCTGAAATATTTTAGTTTCAGGGCCATCTTTAGCGATTTCCTTTCCATATTTTTCTTTTTGTAAGCGTCGAAGTGCAGCAAGTATTACTTGATAATTTTTTTGCTTTTTCTATTATTTCCTTTATCCATTCAATACTTATAATATCTTTCATCTATAAATGAATACCATGCGCCCAACAGCCAAGAAAGATTTTTTTGGGATATTTTTGTTTTAAGATCTTCCAAGCAGCCTTTATATTTGGCACATTGTCTGTAATTATTGCACCAAATTTATTAATACCAGCATCTTTATTTCATAGTAGTTTCAAGTCCTAGTGCAATATTCTCTGCAGTATGACGTTCTTCCTTAAAAGCAGTTGCTTTAAAAAATAATGGTTTTGGCGTTAAGATCATATAGTTTACAATAGAAGTTCTTTGAATATTTGACCATCCATCGCTAATTAAACAATATGTAGGACTTTCAGATAATGCTGAATTAACAACTAATTCTAAATGTTCAAATTCTTGATCTAAAAGAGTGTTTGAAAGAGTAAAACGTGAAGGAATCTTAAAAGAAAAGCAGGCTTTTTTTAAGAATAAAATAAAATCTTCATTTTCAATTACATTAAATAAAATACTCGCCGAGCAAAAAGCCCGTATAAGAAGACTTTCTAAAATAATCTGATCTTTGGAAGTAAAAGCAAATTTGTATTCGTCAAATGTTTGCTGTCTTTTACGTTTAGTACCTTGAGGTTGTGAAGTTTCAGTTTCTACATTTATATCTTTGCATTTTTCGATATTTTCTTTAAGATGAGAAGCATTTTTAGACCATATACCAGAACAAGTTTTACATGTATATTTTTCTTTTCCATTAGAATCAACAGTAACTTCATACTCAGACCAAAAATTTCCTCTTGTTTTCGGCATAATAAAATGGGTTAAACTCAAAGAAAAAAGATTTCGTGTGGCGTTGCTTAATTGATGATCAATTTGATCACTTTTTATTATTCAAATCACGTTTTAGTAAATCATTAAATCAATTTAAAAATCAGAAATTCAGAATCAATCTAATGTTATAATTGTTATAATTTTACTTACAAGCTTAAATATGTGATTCCAAATTATTCCGATATTTTTTCCAAAACCTTACAATGTAAGTTACATGTAACTTACAAAACTTAAAATGTAACTTACATCAAAATTTTTTAAAATACTGTAATTTTACAACCCTAATTATTCGACCTATATTCGACCTGATCAAATTTAGGCTGAATTGTCCTATTTTGACTAGTAAAAAGATTTTGTTCAATTATTTCATTAATATCATCATTTTGAATATTATTAAATTAATTTATAAAAATAACAATTCTTAACAGTTAACAAAAAAATGGATTTAATAAAATTAATGAATTATTTTTTTTATAATAATTGAATAAAGGAGAAAATAAATAAAAAGGATTATATAACTGTATATATAACTGTCAATTGTGTAATTATTATCAACTTTATGAGTTTATCCAATAAATGGTAACATCATTAAAATGGAAAATACTGGAAAAAAAAAACTTTATATTCATCTGGATATTTATTTGAATATCATTATCTGTATTTATCAATAGATCAATCCTTTAAAAATTATAGAATGTAAATATCTCTAAATTATGATGCATATCCAGTTGAGCAAAATAGAATCAGATTATCCTACTATAAATAGATTTAAAAAGAAAATATTACACTAAATTATTATGATTTTTTCCTTTTTAGACTAGTAAATTTGAAATTTTTCTGGAAACTTTTATTAGAAGTGAATGGGATTTTGTAGTAACTATTAACTTAGAAGATTTTTTTGCTAAACCATATTATATATATTCTGTATAACAAAAAATGTAAATTAGCTAGATATAGGTATTGGTTTGCACTAACTAATAAATTTTTTATAAAAACTTCATGCAATTGTTAGTTCAATAAACCAAATTTTTTTTATTCCTATTTCACAAATTTTTTTTAATACCACACTTGGAATAATCAAATTTTTGGAGATATGCTCTTGCATTTTTATCAGTTTCTTTTACCATCTTTTGATTAGTATAACCAATAATACCAAGTTCTTTTTGAATTGCCATTATATTCTCTTTCAAATATAAAATCAAATTATATATTTCTGCAAGTAATATATCTGTAAAAGCTTTATTGCTTTGATATTTCACTGCTAGAATAGAATTGCCATTGATGTCAAGTTCCTCCTGTATTGGTATTATACCCTCCACCAAATTTAACAACAACTCATATGTATCAGCAAGTGGTTTTACTTTCTTATTTTGATATATTGCTGTTTGATTTGCATTAGCATTAATACCAAGTTTTTTCTGAATAGCTATTATATCCTTCTTCTTATATAAAAGCACTTCATTATTGTTATTTTTCATGATTGCCTTGATATATTTAATGCAGAAACTTTGAGTCCGGAATAATGATCATCAGTCCGGACTCCGGAGAAGTGATCATTAGCTCGGAAGAATTTGCCGAGCCACATGTATGTACTTCTGTAGACAAAAAATAAGTGGAAATCTGTGCGACATTAATTTTCGTATATAACGCGAAAAGAAAATATTCATGTCTCTATTTTTTTCCCGAATAAATGTGAGAAAATGTGAAAGAGTGCCTAGTTGCAACACAGGATCTACCCTATAAATTAATATTGACGACAAAAGCATATGTTATGAAGGGCTGAGGACTTCACAATTTCAAGATCTACAAAAGCTAGCTATCTTTGCGTCTTGCGGGTAGATCATGTGAAGAGGTATGAAGATTCCGTTTACATGTGCTTTCATAACTCTTGGCATCAGGCGACGATGCTAATCACTCCTCATATCTCCTTAACTTTTCCCAGCAATATATAAAACATGTAGTGGTATGTAATTCAACCAACTTTCTCTCCCGTATGTACTGTATATGTCAGAAGTTATATATGCATGGGAGTGAGTTTTTCTTACTATGGGTCATTGTATTTAAGAAAGCAAGATGTCTTCCAGCTCCACTCTAGCTGACAGGTAAAAGACGAAGCTTGAGGAGGAAGAAATCACCAGCAATTCATTTCTCAAGATAACCGTATGGGAAATTGTGAATTTAGGGAATACGGAATGACATTAAGACAAGCATTAGAACTTGAGGATCATATTAAGGGGCTGGGTGAGTGATTAATGAGTGTTGTTATTACAGACATTATCTTTGGTAACAGGTGTTCGAAAAACTATAACAGATTTAACAGATTATCTTCCCCCTAAGAAATAGTAATTTTTTATTTGTATCATATAATGCGATAGCTTCGTATATATTTGCAAAATTATGTACTAGTTGCTGTCTCCGGCAACAATTTATTTCATAAATAAAGTATCATTATTTTATCGCATGAGAAACGGGTCACGTGTAATGATGCAATGCCTGTGCGACATAGAAACCTATATTAACGCCAGTACTTTCCTTGCCGAACAGAAAATAAATTTTGATCTCACTCCGGAAAGTAACACTATTTTTTGTCCGAGCTAACTTCGGTAAAAATGTAACGCTATACCAGAAACTACCACCTAACTATTCATGCTCGCGAGCCCTTCGGTCAGGAACTAACGTATAGTATTATTACTTTATGAAAGAATCTCACTCACAATATTGATGATAAAACGAAGCTGTTACACTGTCTTAAGGATATACGACTCAGGTGGGACCCGTCGTTGAAAGTAACGAAGCAATTCATTGTGAATATATTTCGGTAATCCTCCATGCATGTATTAATATAGTCAGAGAACTTGCTGGAAAAAATATCACTAAACCCGCAGTTCGAAGTTGTTGGTGAGGAAAATACGGGTCGTGTGGATTACGCAATCAAAGCACTTGAGGAATTAATTTACATCACGGAGAGTAAACAATATCAAATTGCTATTGGTTAGCTCATGTTAGTAAGCCTATTTCATTCCAGAGTTTCTTAGGGCCTGTTCCATTAACTGATTTGATACCTCTGATCGTCTACAGAACGTTATACAATGTGAAAGTGCTTTCCAAACTAATAAGAGAAAACGAAAGGCGGATGATGCTTTCGCTGAAGAATATGACTATCTCTTCGAGATCGTGACTACAGCTACGGAATGGCATTTTCTCCTTTATACCCCAGACGGGATTTCTTTACACGAGTAGAAACCCACTCAATATTCGTTTTGTCGAGACTGCTTTGGAAGAAGGTTCGGAGATGAAAAGGATCGTGTAAAAATGTGAAGCGGGTGATGGAGTTATTGTTGGGTTTATTGAGGGAAAGGGTGGATGTTGAGAAGAAGCCGGCACTGAAAAAACAACGGGTTCAGGGATTTTTTAGAAAACGGGAGTAATCGTGTATATTAGCGTGGAGACGTCATGTATCACGGGCATGTATTAATAAAGCATTTTACATTTGCCACATAACATTGAATAATTCGCATCATGTATAAAATTTTAATCGAACATGTCATCCAAGTTTTTAAAGCGGGTTGCAGAAGAACCAAGTATGAAGCTGAAACTGCCGAACCCAGGAGTAGACTGAAATCTAAGAAAAATTGCAAATTTCAGACTAGATGCATCCAGATAGCTAAGGAAATTCTTAATGAGGAATATCACCCACCTTTCTTGAATGGATTAGAGCTTGATGCCTTCTTCCAGAAATATCAAATTGCATTGGTGGTGTAAGTCAGTATCGGTTTCATAGCACTAGTTGGTATAAAGATGCCAAAAAACTCGAGGACATCGTTAATCGTGATCGGCAAAAAAGATGTATATGTCAAGATAATGGAATCTTTCTTCTCGAAGTATGGTACGATCAAAACCCGGAAATCGTTATTCCAGAAAGGATACGAAAAATTAAGGAGTACGTTAATAAAGCATACAAAGTCTTGACCTCCTATAATCAATAACTATTAATACAATGTAACTCTACGTTTAATAGATGTTATGTATCACAAGTCCCGATTCTCAGAATACAGGCAAAGTTCTGATGCTAATCTGGGCACGATGCAAAAACGAATTAAAAATGTATGTTCTTATCGATTATGTCCATTACTCGTATCTTTCGTTTCCCTTTCCCCTTCCCCTTCCCCTTCCCTTTCCCTTTCCCCTTCCTTTCCTCTCCTCCCTCGTCTTTTCTTTTCCTTTTCATTTCTCATACTTTTCTGTTGAAAAATCCTTTATGAAACATTTTATAGGCCATTTTTATTTTTTTCGGGTTGCAGCTTTACATTAGCAAACAATTTATTTTTACTGTGTATTTATTTTTTAGCGCCCGCATGTATTACAAAAAGATTCTTCCATGATATGTAAAAGGTAGTAATGTCAGAGACTGTGACGAACTCAAAGCTTAATACTTTTTATATGCAGTATTGTAAACCGTGTTTCGTCCACTTCCTTTTAAAAGTTTTTCCGGGATTGTTGCGTCAATTTCTATTGCGCACTTGTCCATCAGAAAAATAATGCACACCAATCACTTTTTTCCGAAAGTTCAGCATATACTTACCTAATATATGAATTGACGTTAACTGTTAATGATTTGTACGGTAATATGACCACATCACGATAATCAAATCAACTCGCCTCCTTAAATGCTATCAACAAGGAGACATCGGTTTTATCCGTTCCAAAAATCAATTCTTAGGCATGTTGCAAATTATATAAAAAGGTGAGGCAAACGTACTCGTGTAATTCACAAAGTAATAATAGGATATGTTGGCTTTATTGCTCAAATAGCTTCTGGAAGAAAATCATCGCAATATCGACTTAATATTTGATATTCGCTGTGATCACCAGCACGTGCCTTATCGGCGCAGTGCCATTAATATCGACGAGCTGATTACTACTTTTTCTTTTCGTTAACAGCGTTTTTTTTTTCACCTCTAAGTAAGTCTCGTTATAAATTATATTGATAGTTTTGTTAAGCATGAAAGAAGTGCCTGCAGTAGAGTATAGTAGAATATATGTCTATCGGAAGCCGATTATGGCGAGTCATCAAACGATGGCCGACGGATTTCGTTGCATCAAAATTATCATGGGTTTGTTAGCATGAGAGGTGCCTGCGATAGAGTATAATAGAGTATATGTCTATCGGGAGCCAGTTATGGCGAGTCACCAACAAGCGGTGGCCTACCTCAATTGAAAGACTGCCCACTTTTCAGTATTTGCTTGATACTCCTGTTTACGATGAAACATTCACAATTGTCTTTTTTTTCGTTAAGCAGTAATGGGAAACAACGGCAAACTAGTAATAGTCGAAAAGAAATAAATATAAATTAGATCTTAAATTTTCCGGAACCAACTCCAAATTGGGTTTTTCGCTTAATACATCCGACGAAGCGTTTACAAACTATTTAAAATTTTAGGAAATGTTTTGAACTTGCTTTAAGTCGTAGTAAGGGCGATAAGGCATATCGGTTAAATACCAGAAACCTGATATGGCTTGATTTAGATGTAGATATAATAGAAATGCATTACTTTTCTTATTCTTCTTATCACAAAGTAGTATTATAAAGGTATATTATACAATATATTTGAATTTACAATACGGAGTAAAATTCATGTAATTACTGTTTTTTTATAGTTGATATCAGCCTATTTTGTAATATTTTAAATTTGTTAACTCGCTTTTTATAATTACATTCATTTGTATAATAAATATTGTATTCAACATATACTTGAAGAGTTTTGAAAGACTAAATAGGTAAAGAATAGATAGTGAAATGATCAGATGTACCAGATACACGAGGATGATTTTGAGTATAAATTCGAGCATAATAAATATTATAATAAGACCATTGACCTACAATAAAAGAAATTTTTCCATGGCCAATTTTCTATTAATTTAAAATAATGTAATACTATTAATTAATAACAAGTTTAATAATGATAATGTTTAAATTTATTAAAGAACTCACGGCTGTTGTTTTCCAAATGATTTCAGGAGGAGTAAACTCATACCGAGGAGAACTTAATATTTCAATTACAGCCTCAGCTAAATCGGAAGAAACATTAATAAAATCACTTTAAAATTAATTAAGGAATGAATTCATATTACTTACTGGAAGGAGGTAAAGAAGATTTCCATTTAATGAATTGTTTTGAACCAATCGGAAAAGATTCCTTTGAATCTTTTATGATAATAGAACGAAATTCAGGTTCTCTTGAACCATATAATAAAGGAAAAGAGTGAATTTGAATTATTATAGTCATAAAGAATATTAATATTATGCGATAAGACTTCATTTTAATGAAAATATGCTTCTTTACTAAGCACAGAATGTGGTTAAAGCATATATTTAATTTAATGAGGCTTAGCCACTTGGCTTAGAAAAAGAAAAGAAGCGCAGCAAGTGTTACGAATAGATTCCCGATCCTTTCCGGTGAATTCAACATATTATTTTTATAAATAAGGAAATATCTACAACTTTTCGCAAGAAAAATATCTCAAAAATCCTTGATGGTAATAAGTACATTATTAAAACATATCATTTTATTGATGTTTCTTTTTGAATGAGTTTAATGTTCATAGAAATTATAATAAGTCCGGAAGTTACGGAGTATTGATGGATTATAAACTACGACTCTTGTTACAGTACATTGAGTATTATCCGTTAAAACAAAACAAGTAAAATATTTTATTGTAATATATCTCTCTCTTTCTTTTCCTCTTTATGGTAAATTCATAAATCACGAAGTAAAAAAAACTATGGAAATTACCCCCGATTTAATATTGGATATCTGAATGAACTAAATAGTTTAAATAATATTCTTCCGACATTTTTCCGATATTCATATTGTTCTAGAGAACAATGAATACTGGATTGGCAGGATATGGAAGAATGTTTTGCTAAAAATTAATTTTTGAAACAAATATTCTTAGAAATTGTTCTGTGATCACAAAAACAAGAATTGATCTCCTTTAATCTAGTCCTATTATGTGTTAGTAATTATTTATATTTTTTTTTCATCCCAAAACTGGGAATATAATTGATTATAGGGAGTTGATATTCAATGATTTCAATGGTTGTTTTGTTTGCCATTTATATTGAACAACTTTTATGTTAATTAATTAACAAAATATTAAAAAAGTGATGTTATGAAAGAAAGTAATAAAATTTTAGTAATTGTTTTTTTTTCGCGTTAGTATGAATTTATATCAGTTTATAAAGAAAAACGCGTTAAATGATAATTCGAAGATAAATATCATTTAATAAATGAATAAGTATAAATTTAGAAATTTAGTCATTTTCATGGTATGACATCGGTTAATAATAATATTCTAATTATGAAAATAATTAAATAAATAATTAGTAATATTATTAGTTTCCATTCACGAATTAATATAATAAAAGGACTCATTATTATATTACTTTATTATTTAATTTGTGACATAACCCCTACAAGTCAATCAGTCAATCGGAAATATTAGTCCGCTTTTTTTTAATGTGGCTTAAACAAATCAGCTTGGCTGATAAAAACTCACGCCACACTAAAATGGCGGACTTGTTTCCAAAGTCCAAACAAGTTTAGTTTCTTTTTTTTTTTGTTCTTAAAAAAGGCAATTTATTCTTAAAAAAAAAACTTATTTATACATATAAAGTTATATCTTAAATATGAAAGTTACGCATACATTCATTTAAGTAATTAAAAGGTGAATAAAAATCCGCTTATTGTATGTGCTTATTTATTTATACTAAAAAATATGTAAGTTTATGCGAAGATAAATAGATATATTGGGTATTTAACGATTGAAAGAAAATTTTGTATTACACTCCCCAATTTATGTAACGATACTATGTAAAAAGGGGATGAGGAGTTTTTCTTTTTTCCTTTTTTTTTAAAAAAAAAAAGATAAATAAATAAATAATCAAGATTCCATTATTTAATAATTGCTTCTTATTGCTGTTCTTCGTAGTCAGTTTTTCCAGCGTCGCAGTTATCTGATAGGTTCGACTTGATGCAACGTCCGCAAGGTCTTTTTCGATCACAACCCTTTTTGATTTGACGACATCTTGAACAAGCTCTAGGAACTGGCGTCGATTTTGATTTTTTCTTGCTATTTGATTTTTCGGCGGTAATATTATCCTCATGTTCAATTGACGAATTTTGAGGAGAAAAAATTTTACGTTTTTTTGCCTGTAGAGGAATAATAGAAATGGCACGAGTAATGAATTGCACAGATCCTTTTCGCTTTCGAATTTTATCATTTTTGGAATTTTGCTATTTAATTATTATATATTATATAAAAATTTCTGTGAATTCTTTTCAATTATTATGTAAATTAAAAACTAATAATGATAATAAAAGATAATAATAATTAATAAAAAAATAAATACCTTTTTTATTTCTTCATTTTCTATGCCTTTTCCTAATTCACTAGAAATGATACTTTCGCTAGTATCGTCGCTATAAACAAGATTAACTTCATTTTTAATAACGGATTTTTCTGAATTTTTCGAGCTTTTTTCACTACGATCAATTATATCATAACATTTATCCCTTTCTAAAGAATCATAACTTCCAGTGATAAAATTTTGCTCAGAATCACGGAGGGAAAATCGTTCCATATTAAAACACTTTGAAATTTCCTCGTGAATATCATTTTTAGAATCACTAGAAACGAATATAAAATGAACATAACAATCAGTTCCTTCGTCGTCTTTTTTAATGGAAATTCTTTTTTTCCAGATGGAAGGATAATGATTTAATAGTTGTGGGCGTACAGGTGGTAAAGGTAAAGTAACTGGAGATTGTGGCGGTTGAGGGGAAACAATTGGGGGATTGTCTTCGAAATGGCCAGACATTATTACTGAAACGAAGGGCGCGTAATAATCTTTATGTATAGTATCGCGAATTTTTTAAGTCGTAAATAATGTTTTTTATTATTGATAATTTTTTTTTTTTTTATTTTTTTTTATTAAAAAAAATCAATATTATACGAATTGCTCAAGATCAATCGTAAACTTCTTTAGCTCTATATATATACGAAAAAAAAGGTTCTTTTTAACGGATAATGAATCGGATTAATAAACTACTTTTAAGAAAAAATATATACATCAAAGAAATCAAATCAGGAGTTTATAATTCCGAGAGCTGAGGATAATTCGTCAGAAGTTACGTGTAATTTTGAAATTATCAATTCTATGAAAGAAAAGTAATACAAAAATTCTTAATGTTTAGATTATTAATAATAAAAATGATTGAGAGTGCATCTAAATGAATATTAACAAGAATTTAAATTTGTAAAATATTAAAATTATTAATAAAAAATGCATAGGCCTTGGGGTTATTTATTTATCTCATTCAATATTCTTTTATGGTATAATCTATTAATTTTTTCTCTCTATATTCGGAGTATTAATTACCAAAACTCCGATTTCACTGTAGATCGCTGAAAGTATGGACTATATAACGCATTCCACGCGGAGATGAATTGCCTAACTTAATAAGGAAACATAATAAAATTTTTGAGATCCAAAACTACAAAATTAAAAAAATCGGCGCGTTACATCACGATGTAATTCTAATATTAGAAAAAGTGTCTTGAACGTACTTTGTAAATTAACCACAAGTGGCAAACAAATTAACCAACCAATCTAGATTGGTTTCTCGTTACCATTCAGTTACACTATAGCGTCATTGCCTGCGGTAAATCAGTAATCGATTCATTGTTTTGTTTTATTTGTTTATCGTTTATAGACAAATGTTTGTAATATTAAACTCTCTGTTTATATTTGTTATGCAAATTGGATATAAAAGTATTCTTCTTTTACATCTACTTTTAAATATGGAACCCGTGATTGCGTTTTGAAATTTTCATTTTATAATGATTTGCGAATTAATTTCGGATTTTCTTTCCGTTCTTTCCGAAAGTCTTGTTTGAAATTTTACTTAGAAAGATTGCATTTTATTGCATTTATCATTATAAATTACTTGAATATTTACACGGATTTATTTTTCCGATAATAAAATTCCTAAATTATGAATTGTTTCGCTTTTATTAACCGTTATGATAACTATGAACTTCATGCTTCAAATTTCCTATCTTATCTTGGAAATCAAATGAATTATCGCAGTCATTAAACTATGGCTTTCCTGTGAAAAAGTTGATCCGTGTTTTATATTCCATGTTCGTAAATACGGATTTTGTCGATCTTTTGTAGCAGATTTCGGAGTTTGTCAGAAAAATGGAGATTAAATTTTCAATAGTGCCGCAGTAAATCAAAAAAAAACAATGGACATATTGCACAAATTTCCATATCGGAAGAACAATTGATAAAATTTGCTCCCGAATCCCGATATGAACACGCACCACCTCCCGACCTACAATTAATAACTCCCACATTCGGAAATCGGTACAACACGTGCAATCCGTAGTACTAATTAAGAAAAATGAAGCTTTGATCCCATTTTGACCGTAATTATGCGATTAAGTAAAGAGTCACTGTTTACTTTTTACATAATTCAAAAATCAAAAGAAGTATGAAACTCTGGGTAATATTAGGTCAAACTGAAAATATTAACACCTATTCGAAGTGTAAAATCCAGAGTACCGAAAATTGTCCCTACTTAATTCAGTATCCATGTCTCAAAAACAATATTAATATATGGATTAATTGTTGAAGAAAGAAAGGAAAGAACAATAAAGAATATATCGTAAAGCTTATTTTTTTCATCTAAATGTGTCCCTTTAAATTACAATCAGACACTTTCACTATATCATCCGTATATGTTCTATGCATCATAACCAGCTAAGCTAGCAAACCATTTTTTATAATTATAGATTAGTAGGATTTAATTTACTATCTTTAAGGAAAAAATGTTATTATCTAATCAACTTCAATTTATTTAAAACTTATTTGAGTTTTTCCTTTAGATTATAATATTATATATATATATATATATATATATATTTATCAATAAATTCGATTTAATTCTGATGACATTAATTCAACTTCTCATATTACGGAATGTTGAAATTTTTTTTTTTTTACACTCAATTTTACTATATCTGATATATATATGTGAATTTAGTTATACGTAAAAAAGAATTATTTCAAAGTTAAGACTATCCCAAGTAAACCTGAATACTCGTACTATGTTTTCATAAAAAAGAGATGTCCTACCAGAATTTCTCCTCTCTCAAAGTTCCATATACCCATAAAATAATATTATTATATGCATTTAATTAATTTGGTTATTTTATAGATTGAATGATTTGTACTTCAAATAGTAAGATTAACGATTGATTAGTAATTAGATTATTTGGAAATCAAGCCGGGAATCTACCAATCGATTTTACCCGTTAAATTATTTTATTTTATTTTATTTTTTTTTTTAAAAATGCTTCTCTTTTTTTGTTTAAGATTTATATGAATTATATCTCACGCTTTTCGTTATCTAGAATTTACATAAAAACAGAAACCCTGTCGGCAAATAACCGCATTTTACAACTTTATAAGTCTCTTTCGACTATGCCTCCTACTACCGTAAACAGGAAACAGTACGATTATTTGGTTATTGGGGGAGGAAGTGGTGGACTAGCTTCAGCTAGACGAGCAGGTAGTTATGGTTTAAAGGTTGGTTTGATAGAATCAAGTGGGCGTTTAGGTGGAACTTGTGTGAACGTCGGTTGCGTTCCCAAAAAGATCATGTTTAATACCGGTAACGTTTCTGTTTCTGTTACTGTCAGATTCAAAAATTTTGTTATTAAGAACCTTTTTTTTTACAGCTTCTGTTATGGAATCCCTCCATGATGCAAAGCAATATGGTTTTGATTTACCATCAATTCCAAAATTCGATTGGAATTATCTCAAGCAAAAGCGAGATGCATATATAAAACGTCTCAATGGAATTTATTTAAATAACTTAAATAAGGATAAAGTCGATTACATTGAGGGAAACGCTAGTTTCGTAAGCAAAAATGTTGTGAAAGTGGAACATAATGGAAATATTGAAGAAATCGAGGCAAAAAAAATATTGATTGCTACAGGTAAATATGTCATAATTTAAAATTATTAATTTTTAACAAGCTTATATATATCCTGATTTTATGTTAAAGGTGGACATCCACATATTCCTCATGAGATACCTGGTGCTAAACTTGGTATTTCAAGTGATGGTTTCTTCGATCTTGAAGAGCAACCAAAAAGAGTTATGGTCATTGGGACTGGGTACATTGGTGTTGAATTAGCTGGTATATTTAATACTTTAGGTGAGTAAATGCAATCATTGTAAATTATAAAATTATAATACACTTAATATCAATTATTTATTATTAATTTATTTATCGTTGTATAGGTAGTGATACTACAATTGTTTCCCGTTCAGGTGAAATTTTACGTCATTTTGATCCAATTATCAAAGACACACTTCTTGATCAAATAAAAAAGGAAGGTTTACGAGTTTTAACCCACGGTCATGTTCAAAGTCTTACGCGTGATTCACCAGATGGACCCATTAAGGTTCAGTTTAACTCAAAAGAAACTAATGACACGACTGAGGAATTTGATACTCTTTTATGGGCGATTGGAAGGGAACCAAATACTAAAAATTTAAATTTAGAAAATACTAGCGTTAAACTAAATGATGACGGTTATATTATTTGTGATGAGTATCAAAATACGTCTGATGAGGAAATTTATGCTCTGGGGGATGTTTGCGGAGTTGCACAATTAACGCCTGGTAGAATTTTTATATTAATAATATCTGTCTATTAAATCATATTATAATTTGATTAAATCATTTATGACCTCTTGAATTTGATAGTTGCAATCGCAGCTGGACGTCGATTGTCAGACAGACTTTATGGTGGTCCAATGTTTACTAACTCCAAACTTGATTACAATAATATTCCTACTGTCATATTTCATGGTACTTGTGGAGCAGTGGGCCTTACTGAACCAGAAGCTCAAAAAAAATTTGGCAACGAAAATGTTAAAGCTTACACTTCCAAGTTTGTAAATTTGTATAATTCAATGACAGAGCACAGTAAGTTTTTATTTTATATACATTTCTTTATGTGATCATAAACATTTATATTAAATAATTTTTTATAGAACCAGTAACAGCGTATAAACTTGTTGTTGTTGGTAAAGAAGAAAAGGTTGTTGGTGTTCATCTCGTTGGACGGGATTCCGCTGAAATAGTATGTAAGATCCATACTTTGTATTTTTTTATTTGCAATAATAAGTAATTTGTATATTCTGTATAGTTACAAGGATTTTCGGTTGCCGTAAAAATGGGTGCTACAAAAAATGATTTTGACAATACAGTTGCAATACATCCTACAGCCGCTGAAGAATTGGTACATTTATTTTGTTCATTTCATTACTTATTTGTTTTATTGTTTTATAATAAGACATTTACTTGAATTTCTCTAATAAAATTTTAGGTAACAATGAGATGAAAAGAGTATAAATGTTTACTATATTTTGTATTGGTATACAATTAAAATCTCCGCGCCAAGATCACATGATTTGTATAAAATTTTACTTCCCCATATTATTTAAATAAAACTATGAAATTATAATCTATATTAAATTTATTAAGAAAATTTCTAATTTTAACCGGAGGTGCCATGACGAACAAGGTGATAAATAGTTTTAATAACAAACAAATTTTTGTCTTCAGATTAATTAACAAAAATAAAGACCATGGGTTGTGATAAATAAACCTAACCCTAACATTATTAACCCTTAACACTAATAAATATTAGGGTAAGGAATTTCCCTCCGGTTAAATGTAGTTATTTTCTAATATTTAATTATAAAAAAATGATTTATTTATTACTATTTGATTTATTTTAATAAAGACAAATCTAATAAAAAAATTTATATAATATATTATATTGTATAAACAGTTTATTTATATCTAATTAAATAATGATAAAATTATCCTTTTATAATTGATATTAATGGAATTATAGTTCAAAAAACATTTAGATTGTTTTGATAAAATAAATCAAATAGCAATAAAATTATTTCTTTATAATTAATAAAGAATTATAATTTATTAATTTAGTAATTACCATACCATTCTAAAATTAAACAACCTTTTTTAGTATAAAGTTGTTTAATTTTAGATACTTTTCTTTTTGTGTAAAAAATCCAAAAGAAATGAAGAAATTGTGCATTTAGAGACTTTATATATAATGTAATACAATGTTGTATTTAATAAATAAATCATCATTAATTGATTTTATATGCATACTTGTTTTTTTCATTTTAAAAACTTGCTATACAATATATTGCTATAAAGAAATAAAAGGCAAAATAAAGCTATTGGTAAAAAAACTATTAGTAAACAAGCTATTAAATAACAACTCATATTCTATTAAATAAAAAAACAGGTTGTTACTTATATCAAGAAAAATGGAATAGTTAAAGCAGTAAAGTCTTTTAAATTTAATAAAAACATAGTTAATTACTGGGTTAATTCCAATGAAAAGTAGATAAATAAACTAAATTAATATAGCAAATAAGTTAGCTTGATTAAAAATATTTTTACTTAAAAATTGAAAAAGAACTCTATAATAATTGGATTATAAAATAAAGAAAATAAAATGGGTCTAGTTCACATTACCAACAATTATATTACTGACAATTATTTTACCGACACTTACTTTACCGACAGGTATATTTTACCAACAATCATATTATCAACAATTATTTTACCAACAAAATAATAATATAATTTTAAGTGTGTAATAAAATAAAGTAATATAGAAATAGTTATTTATTTATTTTGTTATTGTTTATTTATTATTATTTAAAATAAAACTTTTATTAATTTATTATTTATTATTAATTGAAATAATATACAGTATATTATTATATTTAATTAGCATTTTGAAATACTCTAGAATGCTTATAAAAAAAGCAAATTATATAAACTAAATTAAGAACAATTCTAAGTACAATATATTATAAAACTGAAATAAATTTTTAAAAGAAAAAATGTATTTGTAACAGCCTGTTACATATCTTATTTGTAACATCCTTTTTTTATTTATTTTTTTTTTAATAATAAATTTAAATATGTGTTTCACAAATAAAATTTTTATATGCAAAATTTAATTTGAAAACCTTTTACTTAATGTACTTAAGACAGTTTCATAGATAAAATTTTAAGTTATAAGTAGTTTCTTAAAATTTTTTAAAAAATTCTTTTGTCTTAGTTACACGACTGATCTTTTATTTTTGTTTACATTACGCCTGATCTTAAATTTTAATTGGATAAAATTGGTGTTGTTACAAATAAGACGTATAACAGGCTATTGCAATTAGATTTATCCTTTTTAAAAAATAAAATTAATAAAATTAAATATTAAATTCAAGTTATTTTATTATATATAAATATCATAGTATTTTACATTTTGTTATATATTAATCAATTTTTTATTTTATATATTATGGTAAATTCTTTTATATTAAATATATATTATAATTTTATACTGGAGTGGGTAGTAAAATAGTAATAAATACTATAAGTGTTAATGGTAAAATGAGTATTAATAAAATGAGTATTAGTAAAATGTACTTATCGGTAAAATGATTAGTAATATAATTGTCAGTAATGTGAATGGGTTCCATAAAAACTAGGTATCACATATACTGGTCAAAAACTAGGCAAACGTGGCATAGTAACCTTTATCTTTATTAAATTTATTCGAATTTTACAATTTACAAAAAATAAAAATAAAAATAAAAAATAAAACTAACTAAAAACAAAGCTATATAGTCTTCTAAGAAAAAATAAAGTAAAAAAAATTAATCTAAAAAAGAAAAATTGCATTACACTAAATTTTCCCAAATCTTCCCTTTGATATATTCCAACCAAAATAGAAGCAACTATGCTAACAAAATAACGAATAGCGAGTCCACTATAAAAATTGATACTCCATCCTGCAAAAGCTGTTATTCAGTAGCACCGTTAGACGACCCATAAAACCCAAAAAGTGATTAAACTAAGGCAAACCATATTTTATCGAGTTCTTCAACCAATCAGTTTCGGAGTCACGTGAATCATGTAGGGTTAGAGGTGGTAAAGATGAGTAAGGTAAATATGTAGACTTAAACAAATTTGATGGCTGAGGAGAAGTTTTTAATTTGTAAGTGATATTTATCACGTTTTTCCATCTACTTTTCTCATAAGAACGCGGATTCCAAATTCTTTTCCTGAACTTTGTATAAAATTGTTGTGAATAGCAGTGACAACCTTCATCACTGAAGTTCTTGGAATAGATAAATCAATTAACAAATCGACAAAGAGTTTAGGTAAGCATCCACAAACAAAGTCGTAAAAGGACCAATTTATAGAAGAAAAGGACCAGCATGGAAAAGAAATTAGTTTAGTAATAAACGAAGCAGGATCAATATCAGCCAATTTTCCAGCTTCCTGAAGTTCAATAATCAAATAATTTTGATAAGATTGAAGAGATTGTTGCATAGGTAATCGACGCTTTTTGCACATAAAAAGGTGCATTAAGTCTTCCAAATACTGGTCAAAACTAATATATCAGGTAGCAAATATGTATCAGGTATATACCCGATATGTGTAGTAAAAATGCAGAAAATTGGGTACCCAATAGATGTAAGATATGTGCAAATACACCTACCTGCCAAAAGTATCCAGACAATTCTAAAAAATAACCATTAAATCACATTATTTTGATGTTCAGTGATCAGAATTTAATGATTTATAATTCATTAGATTCGTCTAATTGAGATACATCTAACTGCAGTATTTTCAAGTCTGTAAGTTTAATAGAACAGAAGTTATTGCTGAATGTCTAAAAACAGTAAAATGCAAATAACTTTTAATCCATCAATTCTAGAGACATGAAAATAATAGATACAATGTACCTTAATTGCCAATTCGGATAAGATCGGCACTAATTTATTATAGAAATTCGGGGCAAAAATTTTCCGATTTATTAAGGTAGCACGAATATTACAAAAAAGGACCTCTTATAACAATGCAAAAAAGTTCCCGGTAACCCACATTTTTCCACGTTACTTACTGCATGAATACATAAGGAAAATAATAATGTCAAAAAAAAATATTTTTTATTGACTAAAAAAAAACTTTTATTTGCACGCACGTCAGATTCCTGCCTTCTTATACTACCTATGCTATAAAAAAAATTTCTTAATTCACTAGTTTCAAAGTAACTATTCCAAATTTTATTAGACAGTAAGTTTGTATACAGGTTTTTAGCATACTTTATGAAATATTATGACGCTTTAGTATTTTCCTCGTTATGTTTATTATAATATTATCGTACAAATTTGAAATAATAAATTTTATTTTCTTGAATGCGTAAGAAATTTAATTTCTAGGTATGTTCTATTTCTTCCATATTCCTAATAGCCATAGATTGTTTCCATTTTCGTGAAAAAGTTGTAATCCAGTTGGCAATAGTTGACTCCTTTGGAATATCATCCAGGCTAATTTCTCCTTCATATCCACGGCGCAATAATTCATTTCGCATTTCTTGAGCTGACATTTTTTGTCTGGGTTTAGCCGTTCCTGTATGAAATATACACTCGAGTAACTTTTTTACTTCAGGTACCATTCTTTTCACTGGTGTTCTGATCTTTTGATTTTCTTTTAGAGCCCATCTTTTATAAAATGATTCATGACTAAAAGAATAGTTTGAACGCGTTGGTAATATTTACAGCTTAGAAAATTATATACAAAGAGCGATACCTCTTTGATTTTGGAATAGTATCTGTTGGTGAATTGGTTGGAACAACAATTTCTGCACTCTATTTATTAGTTATTATCAATTACATTACCATACCCTAAATGAAACTACTGTATTTTATATAATCAGAAACTACTCACTGATTCTTCATTTTCTTTGATTTCAGAATCATCATCATCTGACAAATGTTGGATTATTACAAGAACTTCCTATTTTGAGATGATACAGTTATTGAAACCATACCTTGTTTTTTGATGCTTGATGTTATCCAAGTTTTGTTTGGTTTTGTATGTTGAGTAATTATTGGGTTTGGCTTGACAAAAATCCGTTCTTTAGCAATTTTTTGTATTTTACTAGGTGAAAATTTATTCCACAAACTAAACCCGGGAAGAGCTCTTCCATATATATAGCCTGCTTCTTCAGTATCATTTGGCCAGACCCATTCTGCCCAATTTGTAATTCCTTGTATAGTACCCAAAGTACTTTTACGATCTATTTATAATAAAGTATTTAATTTTTTTTTGATTTTTTATAATATAGTAAATCAATTCAATCACAAACCTTGTGAATGATTAGGTTGAATGTGTGCTACATGAGTACCCGCTAGATCTTTTATTGCATCTTCAATATTTTCGCCAGAAGTAATATCATACCCTAGTTTTATGTATCTTTTGATTGCATGAGTTATCTTATAAATA